TTCCACGAATTTTGTCTTTCATGAATTTGTAAATTAAGGGTCTGTTTATATTTACTTAATTTCAGTTTAGTTCAGTTCAGTTCAGCTCCAATCAGTTCAGTTCAGTTCAGCTTCAATCAGTTCAGTTCAGTTTAGCTCCTAATTTCCCTCTCTCATAAAATATTCATTTCAGCTCAATTCAGTTCAGTTCAGTTCAGCTCCAATCAGTTCAGTTCTGTTCAGTTCAGTTCAGCTCAATTCTGTAAATGTGAACAGGCCCTAAACACTATAAAATATTTTCTTTTCGTAGGAATTTCAATTTCTATTATTTTTTATTGTCAACCAAACAACATCTTAGACACTATCACTGTTGGATTTCTAACATGTGATAGAAACTATACATCATCTGTTTCGTAATAATCGCAAGGAAAAATTGACATTTACTACCCGCAAAAGTACCTCATGTACATTTGCTACCCGTTTAATTTTTTTTTATTTTATTTTGCTACCACCCAAATCTCTAAAATTTTTATTTCACTACAACTGACTTACACCGTTACTATTTCCATTAGGTTGGGTTTAGCCACCTTGCTGCCACCCCTCCACCTCCCCCACCATCAACTGCCACCCTCCCCTCAACTGCCACCCTCCACCTCACTGCCACCCTCCCCTCAACTGCCACCCCTCCCCCTGCCGGCGTCGGCGCAAACTCACCTCCCTTTCCCCCACCCCTACGTAGCCCCCCTTTTCCCCTACATAGCAGTTGAGGGGAGGGGGGTGGCTGGGTTATTTTTATATATATATTTTTTGAATAAACTTAACGGACTTCGTTAAGTGGTAGTGAAATTTCAATTATTTGATTTTAAGTGGTAGCAAAATAAAATAAAAAATTAAACGGGTAGCAAATGTAACACGAGGTATTTTCACTGGTAGTAAATGTCAGTTTTACCTAATCGCAATAATAGATTTTGCACAAAGTTTAGGAAATTTATAGGGCAGGGATTATATGGTGAATTTTATAATTTAAAGTATAGTCACTGGGTTCTGTGGGGATATATTCAGTTGTTAGTAAAAGAGATAAATAATATTTCCTTCGTTTTTATTTATATTGCAACAAGGATGAAATTACGCATCCCAAAGCATATTTTATATGCTATATATCTATAATTGTGTAAAAGTAAAAATTATAAAAAGTTGATATTGTGAAAGTATTTTATAACACGAATCCAACAAGATCCCACATGATCGACTAGCTATACTTTCTTTAACGTATACATCATGTTATATGGTCAAACAAGAATGAAGAATAGTGCAAAAAGTCCGTTTTTGCAACATTAATAGAACGGAGGAAGTAATAAGAAAAAAAGGAGTTTAAGTAAGATTAGTATAAGGAAAAAAAACATTAAAATGTTATGCAAGTGAAATTAGGGGGAGATAAATAATTTAGCTCGTATTTTTCCATATGTTGTAGAACAAGTTTGGGAGAACCATTGTCCTTATAAGGTTTTTCCTTATGTTTTGATGGATGGAAAAATTATTAATATAAGACACTCTTTATGTGGTTCAAAAAAAAGGGGGAGAGAAACAATAAAATACTTTGTGATAATGAGTTCATCCCAAATTAGAAAGTATTACTACCTCCGTTACATATTATTTGTAACGATTTGACTTAAAGTAGATAGGAAAAATGTCTAATTATTGCAAATAATATGTAACGGAGGTATTATCATAAAATGAATATAAAAGAAAAATATTACGATGATTACAAAATGAAAAAGGTAGTATTATATATCATATATTATCCACATTGGATTTTGACGAAATGCGTCTTTGATCGCCTACATCTCACATGATATTAGGACCCGCCTGTGTAGCTCTACTATGAAAATCTAAAATTGTAGGTACATGTGGGGTGTCCATTATTTTTATTCTCCATACTCGTTCGGTCGTTCATTCGTTGGGCCTTTGGTAGAAATATAATTTATTTATTTTTTTTTTAATTTTTTTTCCCAGTTATATTTCATCATTGCAACATGTAAGATATGTACGGATTAATTATAAAACTAGTTATTGGCCCGGACGATGTCCCAGGTCATTATAAATTTATTACTTTAATCGAACGATATATATTTTGGCTTGTTTGTCATTGAGAGCTTAAGTGATGGTTTATTTATTTATTTATTTATCTAATATGATAGCTTAAGTAGTTTGTTGCTTGTATGAGTTGGTTTGATTATAAAGAATAATTTTTTTACATTAAAATTATAAAAATATGATAAATCAAATCTTTATAAATTTGATGTCAAAATATATATTACTCCATAATGCACAAAAATCTTTTACTCTATGATTACAATTTTATGAGTTAATGCACAAAATAAAAATGGAGTAATGTTTAATTTCATACAAACTTTATTATTATGTAATTATTAAAGAGTTACAATCCAATTCAAGGGAAATTGTCATGCATGCATATGAAGAGTTTATCAATTAATCTTAACATTAATACATGAAAGTTAATGCATATGGTTTTTCAATAATTAATGCTATGGTATGATTTGGCGACGACACATCATATGCCAAATGGTTAGATATGTACAGATTAATTATAAAATGCCTATCCTAATGTTTTTTCCCTCCAATCATATTCAAATAGAAGTAAATGAAAAAAACAATCAATTAATCAATAACTTAATACTAAAACAGACACTGAGAGTGACACGTGTCATATCCTAATGTTTTTTCCCTCCAAAACTCCACTTTTCTTTTTGACCTTTTTTATTTGTTAATATTTGATTTTATAATAATATCATTTCAAATTCCTTTTTATTTGGTGTCCAAATTTATTCTATAAATATTTACCTAAATAATTATTTCAACTTCTTCAAAAAAATTAATTATTTAAACTCCTTTTTAGCTATCTTTAAATGGAGTATCATTAGATTTTTCCAAAAAAGTTATAATAAATTGATTCATATAATAGATGTTACAGAAATCACTTTAAAATATCACTTGTTTTATTTTTTTTCAAATACCTCTAGCTAATATTTTATTTTAATTTCAATTCAATATACCTATATTCAAGTTAATTACAATTTTGTTTATGAAATTATACTACTATACGTACATATTATCACAATTGATTTATAGAGTAAGTATATATAGTATAGCTATAAACTAAATTTTGTATTTAACAAATGATTTTTTAGATATAAAGATGACATATGCATTTGTAATTTTGTGTATGTTTGCACTTTTGCTAGTAACTTTTTTTTTTTTTTTTTTAAGATTTTAATTTGTTGTTCGATTGATTTTTGATGTTTATTAAAAATGCATTTATAAATAAGTATTCAATATGACCACTAGACCTGATGAAGCCCCGCCTGAAAAATTCTCGAGTTCGGGCAGACTAAAAAATCCATTTTTTTAGATGATTTGTTTCTTTGTCTAATAATATATATAGATTATGACATTATAATTTCTATATATTTGATTTGTATGCTTTATCAAATTTTATTTGTTGGATATAATTAATTTTCTTAAAAAAATAGACTTACCGTGCATTGCATGGGCCTTAAGTTAGTGTTTCTACTAAAATGACAACATAACTTGATGATGTGTCATGTTATAACTGGTCAATGTTTTTTTTTTATTTTTAAAATCCTAATTGTACTATAAATGTATGTATAATTGTAAATACATGTATTTTTTTTTAAAGAATACGTAAATATAGTTTTTAAAAATATATTTTTATCTTCCTAAAATATTTTTTGAAAATTAAATTATAATTGAAATTTAGAAAATAAAAAAAATTATAAATGTTCTTTTTTCATGATCTAAACTAATCACCCCCGGCCAAAATCTTGTATAATCTATTTGCTACTTAAACCAAAATTCCGTCCAAACATCGGATTTATTGGGTTTCGAATATGCTTCCATGATCCATATACAAATTTCATTTTAGGGTTCGATTGATAATTTTGATTCATGTAAAAATCAAGTTGTTTGATAGTTTTGAGGATGAAAATAGCCTTAAGAGCTGTATTACAATGATTTAAATCATTGATCTTTCAATTTTTATGAAGATCAATGGATAACGAGGGTATACTATGCAATTTAGAGTTCAATTTTTTTTCGTAATCTTGTTTGATCTAGAATCGGGATTTATGATTTTTTTTAATCTGTTTGTGGTTAGGTAATTACCTGTACTGAGTTAGGTGATTACTTGTATTTATTTAGATCATTACCTAACTCACAAACCAGTTCGAGAAGACTTAATTAATTACATTTCTCTAAAAAAAAGACTTAATTAATTACATTTATTGTATCAAATAGGGGTTGCAAACATAAAAAAAAAAAAAAAGGCGACCACTTCATCTTCTAGATACTCCTTGTTCATTGACAAAATTGCACAATTTTAGTTCACTTAAATCATATTTTCAAACCATTCAAAGTGGGATTCGTCCTTTGCAAATACTTATAAATGAGATTTAATTTTTTTATGATCAAAAACCTAAAATAAAATATTGCAAATAAAAAACAAAAAGCAAAAACTTAATTTGCTTTTGAATTTTTATCTCGATTTTAGTTCGGATTTACAAATTTATCAACAACAAACTACCACTGATTTGAAAATGGGGAGCTAATCTATGACATGATTGATGAACAATATGAACAACATTTTTTTTTATTTTTAATTATAACTATAAATTCAAAAATAAATTGATATTATAAAAATAGACTTTCATAATTTATAATTATATATTTCTTAAAAAAATTACTATTAAAAAGATTATAACATACAAAAATAAAATTTTAATACATTATGGACATTCAAAATAATTCAAAATGAATATAAAGATATTAAATGTAGGCCAATTAGATTTCGCCACATCAGTAAATTGTGGTGTCATTTTTAAAGAATGACATTATAGATTTACTTTTAAAAAAACCCATAAAGCTGTGATTAATTATAGGAAAAATTGTTCCCATTAATCTAAACTTTGCCTCGTCCGCCTAAATTAATCCAACATTGGATTATTCCCAATCACTCCCAACTTTAAGGGGTATTAATTTCTATTGCACCTAACCGGTCATCCAACCTGATGTAGCAGGTTACCTAGACATGTGTCAGCGTATGATTGGCTTACTTTTTTTTTTCTTTTTAAAAAAAAAAAAACCACAAACCACCCATGCCCAGTAGCTGCCACCACACACCCACCCCGCCGGAAAATCAGCCCCATCCCCGTAAACCCTTCCCCTGCTGCCGAAAACCGCTGCTCAGCCCCCCCCCCCCTTCCCTTCTCCCACCCCCGAAAACCCCGCTCTCAGAAATCGCCGCCCAGCCCTCCTCCTTCCCTCGAAACTCACCCCTTCCCTTCCCCCACCCCCGAAAACCCCTCCCTCACTGCCGGAAAATGATGCCCTTCTACTTCCACTCCCTTCTTCTCCGTTTCCGGCCTCTTCCCCTTCGTTTTCGCCCCCTTCCTCCTCAATTTTCGCCCTCTCGTCCCATTCCCAACGAGTTCTGACCACTTTCCTCGCATCTCTGCTGATTTTCGCCCCCTTTCCCTCCGATTTCCGGCTGCTGCTTTGGTGGCCAATGTTCCGGGGGAAAGGGGATGGTTGGCAGTGGGTGGCTGCGGGGCTAAGTGGTTTTTTTTTTTTTTTTTTTTTTTTAATTTTAATTTTTTGATTTTTTTTTATTTATTTATTTTTTACTTTTGAACGAATCCGGTTGCAACACGTGTGCAACTAATCACAAGTCAGCAAAATTTACCTCTTCAACCGGTTTCAAGTCATTTGGGTGCAATACAAATTAATACCCCCTAAAGTTGGGAGTGATGGGAATAATCAAGTAGGGATTAATTTCGGCGGACGAGGCAAAATTTAGATTAATGGGAGCAATTTTTCCTTAATTATAAGAGAGAAATTAAAGATTAACAAGAAATTATAAGATATTTTTATAAATGATAAATTGTAAGATATTTTTATAAATGATAAATGTTGTAAATAGAGAAAATACAAGTAAATTACAATTCAACAATATGAATTTCCATTAGTAACAGTTTTATCCCCTAAAGAAAAGGGCCAAGTTATTTTCTAACAAACCCAATCCTTCCTATAACAGTATAACTCAATATACAAATCATAGTATTAACAAATAAATATTGAATTGTAACTACGTTAATCAATTAATAATCCGACAATTGTTCCTAATCTCTCCACTTGATCCAGTAATTGGACTAATATTCCCCATTTTCACCATTGCATTAGCAAAATCAATAGCAAAAGCAGCAAAGTTCAAGCTATAAAGCCTAACCAACCTATCTTGTGATCCACCATTGAACAACTCTTGATCCGAGTGGAAAAGCCCACGTCTATTAACAAGGTCTTGAAAGTAACCATTATCGAAACGATTAGGCGAGAGGATGTCAATTGGAGCGAGGTTGTCATCCCCTGCACCGGAGGCAGGACCGGGACATGTTGACTTGCGGAGGGTGGCAAAGTTGGGGTCGATGTTGGTATCGTTGTAGATGTGGTCTCGAAAGGTGGTGCATCGTGCCTGACCGATAGTGTGTGCTCCTGAGAGGGCGGTCATGTCACGAGCGTTTAGGCCTTGGGCGGCGAAGGAAGAGATCAAGGTACTTAGGTTGGCAAAGGGTGGTGGGAGATTAGTGTTGGCTGCACTTTGGCTTGCTGTTTTTGCATCCTTTCTTCCCAATGGTACTGTCCATGTGGGGCCTCCTAACTGCATGAAAAATTGCTAAAATTACTTAGAATTGTAACATATGATATGTTTATACTAATAAATTTTCATGTACAAAAAAAAATAACTAGATCAATTGTAGAATGTTAAGTAATAACATCCCAACTATGAAATCATAGAATTATTTGTACGTAGTGGAGTTGTGCAATAGACTTGTAATTATAAGACCAGTACAAAAAGTTGAATGAAGTACACATGTTAGTAATAATAAAAAACATACAAGATTACCTGCCATATTATTTAACATCAAATGTTGCATTTTGAAATTTTGAACCATAAAAGCAGAGTATTTGTTTTACTATATCCATTAAATGTTATGTGCAACTTTAAGGTATTATTTGTGAGATATAAAATATTGCAAAATTGCACATAACATTTAACGGAGGTTGTATATTTTTAGTTATAGATCTACTTACCAAGAAAACTGAAGCTCGCGCTGCAAGTGCGAGTATGTCGGCACACGAAACCGTTCCATTACAAGCTGCTTCTACATTAGACTTGATTGTGTCGATTACATCAAAGCCTCTAGCTGAATTTCGATTAGGTAACGCATTCTTTTCTCCAGTGAAGGTGGGTGTGTCATCGAGGAGGACTGAAGCATCACATCCCTAAAGACACAAACATATCAATATATAATAGACAAGAAGTTAGACATAATTTGATAATTGTACTTGTTATTTCAAAGTCTTACATTAACAAAACAATCATGGAAGAACAATCGAAGGATAGAAGCTCCCATTCGCGGCTCCTTTACTAACGCCTGCCTCATAGTATTAGTTACAATAAGTTGAAGAGTAGGGCATGTCCTAGCATAGAAAAACGGTGTAAGTTGTGCATTTGTAGAGCTTGCAATAAGCAAAACGAGAGAGAGTAAAATCGAAAAACGGATTGTAGAAGCCATGAAACAGGTGCTCGAATTTGTGTGTAAACTAGATTTTGTGCAATCAATTATTGTAAGTTGTGAGCTGAAGTAGAGAATGAAGGGAAGTAACACTAGTATATATATTGCCATAATAAGCTAAGCATGGTGCATATGAAGCCAAAAACAACGTGCATGGCCAAGTTACATACATTGTGTTGACTTTATGTCAAAGATTACAACTTAAACGCGTTTCCTTGAATTATTTCAAACGAAGATAATTTTAGTTGACTTAAATTATACTTAATGATGTCAATCAAGTGATGGTGATGCAAATTTATACATTAATTTGCTCCATTACTTTCTTACATAATATTACAATAATTAGCAATCACGAAATAAAAAAACACTATAAATTATTGATTTAAACCCCTGTATAGTATTTATGGCGTAATCAAATTCTTTCAACCATCAAATATTTTTATACTTTGACGTTTTCAAATGGATTCAAATGATTTATGAATTAATTGCATCACTAACATAACTGTTTCCATTTCATAGTATGTATATTATTTAAATTATATACGGTGATTTATACTTCAGGGAAAAATACACGTGGAGCAATACTACATGATAATTAGCATATGAAAATTCGAAATCAAAACCAAAACCTATTGCAACAAGTTTCTTAAAATTGGAGCCTCCTAATAATCCTAGAACCAGAGGTGGAACCAATGAGTACTAGTTCGGGCTCGAGGATCGGTCATTTGATTTTGAGAAGGTATTGGGTGCGGCAAGCCGCACCAAACAATTTGTTCGTCAAGTACATATGATATGCAATATTTTCTTAGTATATGTATTATTTGATAAAGGATTTGTACAACTTGTTGGAGGATATGTATTATTTAATAGAAGATACGTACAGTTTTATTGTACGTAGGATATGCATTGTTTGTTATAGGATATGTAGTATTTGATAAAAAAATGTACAATTTATATGTGGTAGAGGATACTACAGTTTGTTAGAGAAAATCATTATATAGCCAGTAGAGGATACCATCCAGTCTATAGATGATATAGGAGACACAATTATAAATGATATCATAAAACCAATAAAGGATATCATTCAGTCAATAAAGGATATCATAGACACAATTATTAATAATATCATATAGACAATAGAGGATATCACTCAGCCAATAAAGGATATCATTCAGCCAATAAAGAATATCATAGACACAATTATAAATGATATCATATACCCAATAGAGGATATTATCCACCCTTGATAATAGAGGATATATATAATCCAGCCAATAAAGGATAACCGCTGGACTGACAAAATATTTAGTCAGTCTGAACTGACGCAATAGTTTGTGTTTTAGATTTGTTTTAATGTTTTGAATTTTAATTGTTATTCCAAAATGGGCTTGAATTGTTGTACTCCCTCCGTCCCCGAAAGAACGACCCATTTGACCTAATTTTAGTCCCAAAAAGAATGACCCATTTGCATTAAAACAACCACCAATTTGCAACAATATTTGTGCAAAATTAGCTTCCCCATATAAAAATTTGATTTTCCATGTAATTTTATTACTTTCTCTCTCTATTTTTTTTACAAACCCCATGTAAATTTATATTTTCAATATAATTTTACTTTTTTTTTTAACTTTCTTAATACCCGCGTAATCAACCCAAATGGGTCGTTCTTTCGGGGACGGAGGGAGTAAGTTGTTGATAGGGTACACAATAACAAGTTCCAATTACAAAAAAATAAAAAAAAAATAAAAATTAAGAATCGAAACCAGAACTTATTGCAACAATTTTAATTTCCATTATTGTTACCAAAAAATGGAGCGATGGCTCATGTTAAAGGGAAAAAGTAATGATGTAAAAATGATGTGTAAATAGTGGGTGGGGGGGGGGGGAGGAATGGTTAAGAGAAGCAAGAAAGCAATTCAACTTTTAGAAAAAATAAAAATTCTACAATGTCATTCTTAAAAAAAGGCACCACAAATTGCTTATGTGGCGAAATTTGATTGGCCCATATTTAGTATTTTGATTTTCTTTTTGAATTATTTTTAATGTCGATAATGTATTAAAATTGTATTTCTATTATGTATTCTTTTTAATACATGTGTTTTTATAGAAATACATGATTATAAATTAGAAAATTTATTTCTAAAATACTAATTAAATTTCAAAATTATACTTATAATTAAAAATCACAAAATTAAAATCGCTCATCATTGTCCATCATTGTTCATCAATGTTCATAAATGTTTTTCATTCATGTCATATATTAGCCACTGCACTCTTTCCCAATATCATTGTTAATTGTCAATTCGTAAATAAGTTGTTTTTTTTTCTAGTAAATGGATTGTTGTGTACTGTTTTATTTTTAGTTTGGAATTTAGATTTTTGTTCATAAAAAAATCTTAACAACAATCTCATTTTAAGTATTTATTAAGGAAGAATGATATTAAAGGTGTTTTGCAATATCACAATGGCCGGCGGCATATGATTTAGGTTGAATAATTGGCATTCTTCTGACTTTGTCATCATTAGAGAAGATGACCAATCTATTTTTCTTTTTGAGTCCCATTAGTTTGATCTGCAAAAATTAATTAATTTTTCGCGAATATATGTTTGCGGATTAGGTAATGACCTAAACTACTTTTGGTCATTACATATAGGAAAATAGTGTTTTATATGTTTTGTTTATATTTAAGGCAATCACTTATGTTTACTTTGGACATTACCTGAAAAATATATTACGACGTAATTAAATAACTACTATATAGGATTTTTTTTGAAAATAACACCACATATTTTGAAAAAAACGGATTATAACACCATCTTTTTTCAAATGTTGAATTTCACCACCATCTAACAGTATCTTTGGATGGAATCCGTTAGAAGGACCCACTAAACACACGTGTCATTTATTGATTGGTTTCAAAAAAAAATAAAAAAAAACCAAAATTTAAAAAAAAAAACAAAAAAACAAAAAACCTAATACCTAACCCAGCCCCACCACTGGAAATGATGAGCTGTCGCCGGCAGCCCTGAATCCCTAATCCCTAACCCCGCTCCAGCCTCCGGCACCCCTTAAACCTAGTCGTTAGCACACCCTACCCCTTCAAAACCGGCGAAACCAGCCCCCCTCCTCGATAACCGCCTAGGTTCATAGATCCACCAGCACCAACCACGTAATTCGCACCAAGCGACCCCCGCAACCACCTCTGCCACTACACACAACCAATTCACACCCCTCCAAACCACCGAAAATACGATTCGCATCGATCTAATGGATTGTGGTTGGTATTTGCGGTGGTTCGAAGGGTTAATGCGCGAAAATTTGGTTGAGATTTACGGTGGTTAGCATCGATTGCAACCTCGATTCTGGGGGAAAGGGGTGGTTTTCGGGGAGGGGGAAGAGGGTTAGGGATAGTTGGGCTGGTTTTGCCGGTTTTGGCAGGGGAAGGGGGTTTCCGGCGATTAGGCAGTTGGTGCCGGTGGTGGAGCTTGGCTGGGCTAAGGTTTCGCATTTTTTTTTAATTTTTCTTTTTTTTTGAAAATTTTCTAAACCACTAAATTTATGACACGTGTCTATTATAGCCCCATTAACGGATTCCATCCAAGAATCCGTTAAGTGGTGGCGAAATCCAATTTTTGGGGTTTTATATGGTGTTATAATAAAAATTTGAAAAAAGGTGGTGTTATAATCCATTTTTTTCAAAATATGTGGTGTTATAATCCATTTTTATGAATGTATATAACATAAAATTTAAAGCACAATCAATCCACAATTATTTACACGTTATTTTGGAGCAATAAGATTGTAGTTTTAATTACTTCCTATTAAATATATTGTTAAATATATTATATATATCTTTGTAAATGTAAACTATTAGTTAGGTGTATTATTCACTTTCCTAGTTTATAGTCTTTGACTTATTTAGTTATAAATTAGTTTGTTGTAGATATGCTTTCCTAGTTTATAGCTTTGACCCCCTTGATTGTAGCCATAAGTTAAGCTAAGTTCATTATATAATTACGAATCAATAAAACTAATTTTTATTTACAAAGATATATACAATATATATATAACATGCAATATATTTATATTTAGCACTTTTAAACATAAACATAGTGATTTTTTTTCACGAAAAGTATATTAATTGTTGTCCTAAGAATTTATTTTATTTTTAATTTTATTTTTTACAAAAATTATCCTAAAAATTTATTTATTATTATAATTATCGAAATTTTTCCTACTATAAATACAATTTATTATCTTAATATTTATTTTTATAACTATAATTACCAAAATTATACCTATTCAATAATATATTAGTTATTATGTAATATTTGTTTAATATTATAATTAACAAAATTTATCCTATTTTAAATTATGCTTCATACTTTTGAGAATGAAAAATAAAAATGTTTAGCTCATTATTAAAATTTATATTAGAATTGTATCAATAATATACTATCACTATTTAATTTAAATAGGAGATCGAAACAAATTCATGCTCCCTCCATTTTTATATACTTGCTCCATTTCTATTTTTTGCACTATTCATTTGTCCTACTTTGACTAATGTTTGTTATTTATACATAAGAAAAAATATAGTCTTGCGGGTACTGGTTGGAATCATTTCAATGAATAGATTATTAATTTTCAATTGTTAAAATTTATACTTATTGATTATTAAAGATATTAGTGATAAAAGATTAACATCGGCATGAGTGTTCAAGAGAAATGGAGCAAGTATTTAAAAACGGAGGGAGTACTAGACATGACCTGATATAATAAAAATATATGTATTTTCCTTACTTTATATAAGGAGGACGAATATTTGTTTTAAACATAGAAAAGTTATATGTAGCTTACTTACATTATATAACCCGCTTGTTTATTTATCTATAAGATTTTCAGATAATAACCTTAACTTTTATTATCGTAACATTTTTATTTGATGTTATTTAATTAGTGTTTAAAGTATAAATTGAATGTCTAATAAATGTTAGTTTACACTTTATAAATGGAAATGTTGCTATCTTTAATTTCTAGTTGTAACATTTTC